AAATGGGCTATTTTTCTATTTTCTTTAATAATGGTCCTAGCAGGCTACAATTAGATTCGTTCGATTCCGTAGGCAACAAGGAACAATTTGTATATCTCAGAATTTCGGAAAAGGCCCTAGTTTTCGAGAAAATCGAAATTTTAGTTTTTCGTAGTTCCGCCGCTCGCCGCTAGATGGCGCCACCTGTACCGTTTTGGACCGAATTCTACAAAAATTGATTTATTGATTTCCTGGCTTTATTAGACATCAAAACGTATCAAACCCTAATAGAAATTTGTTTCTAAATGCTTCAGGGACCATGCTGCGTCGTCAAAGTGCCGAAATATTGCACTTTGCATGCGCAGCAGAATTGACATAGGCGGCTCATATACGTATCGCAAGGCTGCAACAAAATAATTAATTACTCATTACCCGAACATTATTTATGAACTTTTATGATTGAACCAAGTAAATAATGCATTGCTGACCATTCTTTAATCATAAAAGTTCATAGGCTGTTCTCAGAAAGTGAGTAATTAACGATTTTGCATACTCATTATCGTGTGTATATTCCTCCTGCGCGCAGCCCGCGCGTGCCACGGAGGAATAATTACCGAAAAACCATATCCGCGTAGACTTTAATGTATTTAAAATTTTTTTTTCTATGTCCATCTGGATGTACATGCGCATGTGCGTGCAAAATTTGATAAGAATTGGTTGAGTGGTGCAAAAGAAAAATGCGGATAAGGAAGTTGCAAAGTCAAGAATAAGAGCTTCGCTCGCCTTCGGCTCGCTCACTCAATCATATACATTTAAAGGGTAAAGGTGTGATAAGCATAACATTATTTCTTTTTTATTTAGTTATTATTCTCATTAAATGGTAACATAATATAATGTATTAAAAGTTGTATGAAATACAAGCACAGATATGTAACGTACAAAGTTAAATGATCCTGAAACGAATAAATATCTGTGACATAACTTTTCATACTGATCAAAAAACAATTGAATTTTACAATTTCACCATTGGTTATTTTTATTGATAAAAGTATAGGTTTATCGTTAGTTATGTAAATAGTATTTAATGACAATTAATATATACAATGCAAATTACATTCGTTTTTCCATAGGACTTCTTTTCTCAGTTTAAACATTTCTTCCTTCTTCTTCTTTTTAGTATAAACGCATTCAAAGTAAAATACATAATTGTTACAAAGGGAACAATATTTTTTTCATATAACTTTTTCTATTTAGAGGCATGTTTACAAGATTCTCATACAGTTTGCTTTCAATTTTCATATCATTTATGTTTCACTATCTTTCCAAAGTCTTTTATCTTTTAAGGTTTAATGATTTTTAAAATCTTAATGTGTATTTCATACCCTAGTTAAAACTTTCCTGCACTGACAATTTCCTTTCAATTTAAATATAATTATTTGCGTCTATAAAAAGCAGTTAACTATGTGGAAAGAAAAAGAAAGAAACACTACTGTAAAGAAATTAAGTTTAGTTGTTTATCAATCACAAATTAGTTAGTATCATATCATAGTTAGTACATAAATTTTGTTTACAAATTATGTAGACTTTACCAATCATACCTTATGCAATACATATAGAAACTCATATAGACAGATCAGAAATTTTCTTGAGTTAACGTTATTTAGAGTACATTTTAATTGCTATTAGGACATAATTTATTGCAGATATTTCCGCTTCATACATTTGAAGTCTGTCATCTTTTAACAGCTTCTCATTTTTATATCTTAATAAATTCTACATTTTCAATTTTCTAATTTAACAATTTCTAAATTATTTTCTGTTAATATAAATAATATCACCTTTTAACTACAAAATATAAGTTCTACATATAAATTGTTTAAAACTAAAAATCTATTGAAATGATGATATTTTTTCATATTATCTTAAATCTTTACTTTAACGCGAATCCAAAAGAACACTTTCATCTTTATTTGTTCTCCTTCCCCTGTTTTATGATAATGTGAATAGAAGTATGCGAGTATTATGCGTTAACAATTTATAAAAAGTTTCTCATATATCGCTCCATAAATAATAGGAAACAATTTTATTATACATAGTGGACAGACTAGACTATGTTGAGACATTTTGTCATGATGATAGCTTTCAAATTTATTTCAACAATATTTCGTCCGAGTAGCATCTTTTATCTATGCAAATATATGTATATCATTTTCATTAAAAAGAATGTTCATCATCTAATAATCTTAAGTTTAAAGGGACTATTATAATTGTTACGTGTTAGAAACGAATGACGGTAAAAAACTATAAAATATGGTACTGCTTTAGATACAGTTTTTTTTACCATTTATAGGGTATATTTTATGTACGATTGAATGACAATGCAACTTTTAACACTTATTACAAATGTACAACAAACTTCACAAAATACATTATAAATAAAAAAAGCATGTTATACAATTCAAAGATTCATATATCATCTATAAGCCAATTTCAAATTCATTCATCTTATTTTTAGAATATAGTATCATTACCTAGTTAAATTATAAAGAAAAGAAACAATTTAACACTAATCGAATTAAAGGAATGTACTAATTGAATTTAAATGGTAAGCCTACCAAAGTTACTTCGAGAAAAAAAAAACAGATAATAACAACGGTCGTCTAACGTCAACAAGATAAATCGTTCTCTTCTAATACAATCTGACGTGTATATGCATAAATAATAAGCTTACACGATAAGTTTTGAATACAAAACTTCCATCAAAAACCCAGTATCTTTGGCTACTTCGGGTATGTTTATTTAAATAATTATAATATAGTAATATTGTACAACTTGAGTTAGAGTACAGGATGAATTTGAAACACACAGCATTACTTTACATCATGCGCTGCCCATTTGGCGGAGCATACTGAGGTTGTTGGCTTACCGGAGGTCCTGTCGGTCCTGATGGACCATATGATCCTGGCAAAGGACCACTTTGAGGTGGATATCTGTTATAAAATATTATGAAATGTTTATCAATTTCTTATCATTAAATATATGCTTAAGCACTTCGTCATTATTAAATTCAACAATAGCTTGTACATAGAAAAGCTACAAATTTTACAAAACAATTTAATTAACAAACATTGTTTTAACACATACCCTTGATGAGAATATGGGAGACTACTTTGTTCTGGCACTGGTAAACCCTGAGGATGTCCTGAAGAATGTTGATGTGGACCTGCTGGTGGAACATGGTAATGTTGTGGCAATATCATGTTTGGCATGCTTGCAGGCCCCATATATTCGCTAGTGGGTATATTTGTATTGTATGGCCCGGATGGACCACCTCCAACAGGAAAAGGTTGATGAGGTGGTGGAGGTACTCCGTTATATATCTAAAGAAAAAATAAAATTTTTAGTACAAGTAGAATGTTATCTCTTGTGATAACATTTAAACGTGTAATAATTCTTACATGTTGAGGTGGTGGTCCCTGATTTTGAAACTGATAAGGATTTACATGTGGTTGCATTTTAGGTAGAGTGTAATTGGATGGTGTAGGAGGTGGTGGTTCTCGCATCAATGTGTGATACAAATTAAGAGCATCCACCAAATCAGAACTTAACTGAGTTAGTTGTGCATGCCTCCTATCTACCTTTTCTAATGCAGCGTCTATTAAAGGTCCCATTGCAGTAACTTGTTCTGTAAAACATAATTATATACAATTAGCAAATTTTATTAATCATTATGATTATAACATACGACAAACAGAAAGAGTATTACCTTCTAACTCAAGCATTTCTTGTGAATCTGAAGTATCACACTGAGGGTCAGCTTCATGTAATAAATGTAGAAGTCTATCCATTTTCCTTTCATCTATTTCAACTTCGATTACTTCTGGTTCTCTTTTTACTGTCTTCACTTCAACTTCTTCAGCAAATTGAACCATTTTTTTATTACTGTGTTCCAATTCTGCAAAAAAATCCATATATAGCATCTAATATGTTATCAATGAATATAAGCAATATAGCACCCTACTTGTAAACTGCTCAGGCTCCATAGACAAATCTGCAGTAACAAAATTCGAGGGAAAAAGTCCTTCTCCTCTATGATTACTGCCTTTCCACCAATTTGGATCAGAATCATCCAAAATGTTAACTAAAAGTTAGTTGATAACAGTTACTATAATTGCACTTTTTTAACTATAATTAAAACACAATTTCCTAAAAATAAAGTTCAAAAGAATGCATATCGTACTTATTTCTCCTGCTAAAAATGTTAATTCATTATCTTCTGCTGCCTCAAAATCATAAAGAGCACGGACCTTCCTGCCTTCAGAAGTATTTGAAGCACCAAACGTTGCATTCACATTTGGGTACAAACTAGTATTCTTTTTAGATGCTGGTGAACTATGTGAACAAGACACTTGATTTTGAGCTTTACTTTCTTTAAGTGAAAGTTCTATGGCTAAAACAAAGATAATTAATTCGACTTCATATTTTTTCAAGAAACAAATATAACAGATATTAATGATACGCATATGTAAAAATACCTTTTGCAATATCTTCTTCTTCTTGTGAATTTGTTACTACATTTGGATCTTTACTTAATACACTTGTACGTTTAGGCTAAAAGATCAAAACAAACTTGTTAGATATAATGCATGCTTGAGTTTGACTATATACAATAGTAATCACATTTTAAATCAAACTAACTACTTTATAAAGTCTAATCTAACATTCTACATAGCTGTTTCATATGGTTTAATAAAATAAATATTCATTACATGAATAATTACAGGAAAAACACTGTAGAACGTCAATAACTGATAGCCTTATCTTTTTACTGAATACTTAAATGAAAGATTACATGTAGACATATATGTTTTGTAAGAGAAATCTTATGGCAGTAAATGTAGAAACAAAAAGACTCACCGTATCCGAGACACAACTAAAATCGTAACCATCATTCCTAAGTTTATTGTATAAACTTGGAATTAAATTTAACTGTGGATCAGTTTTAAAGTCTCCTTCAGCCCACTTTTTCAGAAGCCCTTTCATTCTTTCCACAATCTTTGGCTGAGAGTGATTAATAAGCTTCCTTAGATCATTTTCAAAGTCTCTCGATGCTATCTCTAAATGAAATATTTTCCCACAATTGCTGACACATGCATCCAGTAACTAAATTTGAGTCAAATATTAGTACTCAGATTGTTAATAAATATAAACTATATAAGTAATTTATATAGATTTTGAAACATGTACTAACAGTCAATGCCTGCATAACAATATGTGGATCTGGAGAAGATAATCTTTTAACGATGGATCGTAAACAATCCTTTGCATTTTGAGGAGAGGTTCCTACTTTATCACAAATATCCATTATTTTCCCCCATTCTTCAGATACATTCTTCTCACTAGTTGCCTTTTCTAATGCCACAAAAAGACATCATAAAATTTTTATTTTTTATAATTAAATTAGTGACGTATGAAATTAATGATATGTATGATTCATCAATGTCCAAATGTCAGTACTAACTTCTCTGCAAATAATGAATGCACTCAAACACAATAAGTATTCAGGTATAGATTTAAAATAAGAAATATAAAATTAGGCACTAAACAGCATTGTAAAAAATTAAATTTACGTGCATGTATAATATTGCATGATTGGTTTTAGAAGTTTATAAAATAAATAGAAAACCCTTGCACACATAAGTTTCATGCAAATTACTACATTACAAAATTTATGTAATATTAATATTTTGAACACTCCTATTGATATTGTATTCTTATTGCTACAAATTAATATTTTCGTAAATGCAACGTAAACAATTAAACAATAGAATATAAAAACGCAAATGAATTAATTCATGAAATCTGGGGTTTTAATTGGAGGTCAAATGTCAACAACCGCTTAATGCATCCATTAAATATGGAATTTCAGTTTCCTAGGATAAACATAAAATCGAGCAAGTGCATGGAAAAAGAAAAAATTAATTGTCATATGACGAAATCTTTCTCTAACGACAGAATCAGCATTGTAGAATAACCACCTTAAATGAATTAAGGCTAGGGAGAAATCTGTCACTCACCGACGTCAGCGTCGAAAGGCGAAGAAGTCTGAAAAATACCCATTTTATCGTAGATTCTTCGAACAGAATACGTTCGACAGTTACGTCCGTTACGTGCTGTCACGGAATCACGTTACGTTTTTCTTTACGCATCCAGCTGATATTTACTTACAAACACGACAGCGAATGACTAATAACATTCTAATCTACCATCGAAATACATCTCAGTGTCGACCTGCCAAAAAACTTCGATACTATCGAATCATCTCGAAAGCGATGTCAAGCATAGAAATTTTACGACGTAAATTTAACACTAGCAAATGCATTTAAACCGCGTTTGCTGAGAATTAAAAGAAATTGCGTATACTATAAGATTGAAGTGTCCGAAGTAATTAAAACCACCACAGATTTACATGGCTCCTGTTTTTTTTCTCGAAAAAGTTGAAATGGAAATCGACAATCGATAGATCATAAGTTAGTAGTTACGGAGATGGCTGCGCCCTGGAATATGCATTTAGCGACATCTATACAAAAGAAGAAAAATAAAATTATCAAAGGTAACGAATTCATATATTGATAAAACATTCACTTATTTTAATGTTGATAATCTTAATTTACAAGACAACATAAATTAATCTGTAGACTCGATTCGAAGAAAAACATGAAAATATACACACTAAACATAAAAGTATAAATCAATTTCTTTAAATCCCTCGCATATAGCAGTCAAAATATCTAGAAATATGAAAGTTTAGGAATCTGAAAAATCAAGTCTAAGAATATATAAAATGCAGTTTATTTAAATTAAATAAAAATATAATTTATTTACAAAGTTACGCATTTAAAATATTATCAGTTTTTACTTTTGTACAATTCATTAATTTCTTTCTATGCGGTTATACATTAATCAACATTCCCTGTATTCTCTTTATTTGTATCCTGTAAAATTAATTTAATATTATTACTGTTGTTATTACGTTACACACTGATATTATTATGTACGAGTATGTCATGCAATTGGAACAATCTACAACCCATGTTCTGTTGAAAAGAGAAAAAAAACGATAAAATTTTCTTCTCTTTGAACTGTTCTAAACTAGTACAGTTTAATATATTTTCCAACGCTTTCTACACATTCGATCTGGATACAATACTTTCAATGTGCGAATCTACAAAAGTGCGTGTTTCCAAGTTCTTTGATGAGAGATCGTTGTTAGAGGTAGATTCGGTAAATGTGTTATCAGTTGCAGCAGATATAACAGTAGTATCATGTAGAAGAGTTGAGTGTGCAATTTGTTTCATTGTTATGTCGCCACTCGTAATATACGTATCATTCTGTACACATTTACATGCATAACGTGTGAAAAAAGTAAAAAAAAAAAACTATTTGATTTTTATTATACATTACACATTACTACTTACATCATCTTCTGATGTTTCAATAACTTTCTTAACTTGTCTGAATCTTTGGAGAATTCGTTCATGAGGAGATGTTGCAACAAACTGACGAGGATAAGAAAATTCTCTCCTCGCAGGAGTCGTTCCTATAAACAAAAAAGGAATAGAATTTTATTTGATCTATATTGAAATTCGTATATAACAGTACCTGTTGGAACATCGCGTTTTAGATCTTCATCAAAGAAGTGATTAATTTCGTTCACTGCTGATTGCAACTGATGAACAGTTTTGTTGCTCCATGCACTTGATTCCGTTATTTGATCCTCTAGTTTACTGATTATTTCGTTCGAAGATTCAGAGGTTTTAATGTCTTGGCTTTTCATTGATTCTGCATAATCTTTACTTACACTTGTAACTATTTTCTGTGCGTTCTACATATAAAAACATTTATTTAGTAAAAGCAACATTCCATTAGCATTTTAATTAGATTTAAACTTACGTTAACCAATGAAAGAGCTTTGTTTCTATCCATATCTATTTTTTGTTGCATTTCTTTAACGCTATTCTCGGTAAGGTCTTTATATTGTTTCAATGTATTACAGCTTTCACTTATATTTGATTCTAATTCACTAATTAGAATCTTTCCTTGTTCCGCTGTTTTGTCTGTTAATTCTTCATTCTATCAATAAAATAGGATATAACCGGTCATAAATAATGAAATATAAGTTTTCGTTTAAATTATAAATCATACACAAAAACTACCTCTTCTGTTTTAAGAATGATATCTGTTTCAATTTTCTCTAAGTTATGTTGTATTTGATCTTTTAGATCATTTTGCATCGCGACACTCTTATTATAACTTTCTGTTGAGTATTCAGTCATATCATTACAGACTTTACTGACATAAGTACATTTATCAGTTACAGAAGAATAGTGTTCTTCTTGACACTTATATAAACGGTTGAATTGAGAACTTGCATCTTGCATCATCTAAAAAATATGAAATTAATACTCTCGAAATTAAAAGAATATAAATCTTTTATACCTGTGCGAATAATTGCTGTTTTTCTGTAAACTGTTGCCTTTTCTGAAGCATTTCTACATCAGTTGCAATAATTTTAATGTTTTTGTTTATGTTATTGTAAGCTTCTAGTTGAGCATTACATGCAGAATCTATCATTTCCTTCATAAGAGTTGAAGTTTGTTTTAATTTTTGGGTTACATTATTCCTTATTGTTTGCAAATTTTTAATAATGGCATTTCTCATTATATTTTGAATATTGTTTGCCAATATCGTGGAAATTTCATTTAACAATTCACGTTCACATTCTAGAGCATTTGCTGGATTTGCAATTTTATCTTCTATACACTTTTGATCATTTGAATACTGAAATGTTGTAAGACATATGCATATATTTTACTGCAATAAGATTATTACATTAGATTAATGAATACATACAGATTCATTTATATTCTTCTTCAAACTATCAATATCAGCTAAATGTTGCTTAATAAGATCCATTGAAATTTGTTGTATTGCTGTATCCATAGTTTCGCATTTATTACTAGTATGCAGACCTAATGTAAGCAAAAGTAACAATCAGTGAATTAACGTTTGCTAGAATTCCTATGATATGTTGACTTCTTTATTACCAATTTCATTCTTTATAGATGTAAAACAATTTATTAATCTTTCTGCATACGTGCTAACATCTTGTTCAATTCCTTGTGCACAGTTAGAAACCTTGTTTCTGAACTCTTCACTAAGGGCCTCAAACGTTTGTTCGACTTGACTGAAACAGTTAATTATATTTTCTGTGCATAAAATATAAAAAAATAAGTTAGTGTTTTTAAATCAATGGAATAAAATGAACTATTCAAGCAAGTGAAAAAAATAGAAAAATCTAATCATTTACTTCTTCCATTAATTATTTAGTTGAATATGTTTTTATATGACCTTTAAACTATATATTACTAAAGATAATTAACATACGTTTTACGTCCAATCTTATCATGTAATTTATACGAATCTGACGTTGCTGTATCTGCGACGTTCAATAAATTTTGTGCTTGATTTAGTAAAGACTGTTCTGTATTAACATATTTTTCTACTAGGAGCTTTTGTCTATCTCGTTCCTCGATCGTCATTTTTAATCGTTCATCCGTAGATTTAAGGGCGCCCGTAACATTATCTAATTTATTTTTAGCTTCGTACAACTCCTTCATTTGTGCGAGAGTTTGTACTTCAAGATCATTGTATATTTTCTAAAATAAAGTAATACATAATTGAAAAACTAATATACAGCAAAAATGATAAGAATGAAGATATTTATTTACCTCCTTATCTTGAACAGTTTTTTCAAGCGCTTTTATATGATTTATTTTCTCCTCTATATCTTTATTCAATTGAGCGATCTGTGTCTGCATTTCTTGATAATTCTCATTTGCAAGATAAACTCCATTCTTCTCACGTGCTGCTTCTAAATCTTTTCGTAATCTTTCAATTTCAACTGTATACTGTTTAAGGAATTCTTTTTTCGACAGTTTTTGATTTATTTCTGGGCGATTAGTAATGTTTTTCGCGCGATGTGCATAATCTAATGTTGATAATGTTTCTTCAAGATTAATAGCAGCAGGAGATATCGTAGCAATAATGGAGGTTTTTGTTCGACCACCCAGTGATTCTTGTAGCAATCTCGTGAGTTTCGATTCTCTACACAATATGAGAAATAAAAGTGTAACTGATTCCTTTTGCTATCGTGTAAAAAAAAACTGAGATTTTGATTACCTATAAGGTATATGAGGTGCTCTTTCAACAAGTGCTGTTATAACTCTACCAAGAGTTAATAGGGACTGATTAATACTACCAGCTTCCCTTGCTCTTTTTTCAATAGCACCAGATCTCCCGACATTTTCGCTTCCTGCAAGATCTACTAAATTCAACTTTCCTGTTTTTAAAACTTCTTCTCCCTCAGTGGTATTCTCTTTCATATGTACAGTTATTGAAAATACAGTATGAGAACGGCTGTAATTATTTGTACAAATATACAGATTCAGTCTCAATAAGTAGAAATCAAAAGTACCCACCTAGATTGACTGTTCAACAATGTTGCAGCAGTTTGTCTCCTTTCTGATCCCTTTTCCAGAATTTTATAAACTTCACTTTTATTATGTATTGTTACTTCTTCTAAACCATGAATAATTACAGCACCTTTTTTTGATGCATCTTCATATAATCTAAATAATAAATATTTATTAAAATATTAGAACCAAGTAAGCCCTGTGGAAATTGAATAATTTGCATTGCATACCTTATTTTGGAACAATCATCATTAACTGATAACAGATCAAATAAATCCTCATTGTAGAGTTCCAAAAAACTAACTCTAATTGTGTATTCCCTTGTTTCCAATAAATGTAATTTATCAAATAGATGACTTAAAGAACGTGGTATCATACCAGCAGATGTATCCTATAAAATGTATGCATGAATAGAATGAATATAATTAATAAGTTGATAAATATATTACTTAGTATACATGCATTTTATATTATACAAAAGGGAATACATAAATATAAAATCTTACACTTTGCCAATGCAAAGTTGGGTCACTGTTGATTCCTTCCATAGTAAATGTTTTCCCAGTACCAGTTTGACCATATGCGAACACTGTACAATTATATCCAGCCAAAACTTGTTCCAACAAAGGATTAACAACAACATTGTACACATCAATCTAGCAATTAAAAATTATATAATGAATTATAATTTTTTTAACATGTATATGTATTATTTATGTATAATAAAAAAGTATACTTGTTTTGCCAAGGGTCCAAATACATTGTCAAATTTAAATTTCTTAGAAACCTTATCATATGGACGCTCATGTACTAACAACTCTTTGTCATTAACAATTTCCACTACGGTTTTGGACTTATTATTTTTTTCGATAGCATTTGTTGGCCTAATAAACAGAACATCCAATTAAATAACACTGTAATAATTTTCTTTTTACTTGTATACTTGCATTAATAAAAGACAAAATTACTAAATTTTGAATGTATTATAAAAGTGCATTGACATTTGGATTTGTACCACAACAGGTTTAATTATAATAACAAATATAAATGAAAATATGAAATAATTCTGTGTAAATGTACTCAACTTAGGAAACAAAAGTTTTAATAATATGTTTCATATTACCAATAATCTCGTGCCAATTTAAATATGTCAAAAGTTATTGTTATTGAATTCCAAATAAATGAGGTGCTTACCTAACACGAACAAAGACTTGTATATGTTGATATTTATCTCTTCTACTAATTTTTGTATCGTTCATGATTATTGTTATTTACGTCGTCTTTTTTGTATTAGATCTTTTCGTACCCACGAACTCCACTTTTCTTCAAAGTAATTACAAATTTACCCGTTACGGTTTAAACGTTACGAATTTAAAGTGCATAGTACTTTCAGAGGCCAGTAGGAGCGCTGTAGTGTATAAATGCTATTTCCAATGAACGTAAAACAAAAGGAAATGAAGTCATTCATTATGATGGAATATACATAAATAAGTATTTTCTACATAAAATATTTATATTATAAATGCCCAATAAATAAATATTAATAACAATGTTTGGATGGTGCATTCTTTTATGTAGCCACTCTTTTACGAAACGCGCATGCCTGTAGAATAGCGCAACCACTAAAGCGGCCATGGCAGACTTACATTTTATTAATAAATATACAGTTTAATATAGGCTTTCTTTTATTAAAGACAAATGTAGGAGGAGGAACATTTTATATACTACTTATGTTTGATATTGGGAAATCATAATCTAAATTTTTTAATTCTGAAATTCCAAAGTTTCCAAACTTTCAAATTCTCAACTAAAATTTTTTAGAGAAGCCTACCATGCTCATTACTTGTTTGAACTCCATGCATGAAAAATCATAAAACATAATTAAATTTCAATAAGGTACTAGAAAATCTGCGTTTAAATAAAACCATAAATTATTAACATTCATTTATATTCTTCATCATAAATTTGTTTCCCAGTTTCATTACAATTAATAAAAACTTCAAAAAACGGAATATCTTAATTTATTAACAGCTCGACGAAATCGTTCGTGTCTTCCCTTACTCCTCTGAAAGGTAAAAGTTGATTGGCTTTGTAGAACGAAAAGACATACAAAAATAATTCTGCAATAATTTTCATTCAGCAATGTCAGACGGAAGTACAGATTTTTGTTCCGAATAGTATTGTAATTTTTTAAACAAAATTAAGTATACTTGTACACATACATATATACAGGATGACCCTTTTAAAGTAATTCACTGAATTATCTTCAAAAATAATAGGGACATAATATGTATTTATGCAAGATAATGTCATATAATATGTTTCAATTTAGGGTTCCGTTCGAAAATATTAATAAATTATTATTTTGATTTCATGTATTGGCTTCTGGAGGATTTTACGACCTTGCTATATCGTGGAGGAGACTGAAGCTTAATCTACAGAAGGAAATATAGGGTTCTATTTGAACAAACATTTCTTGTATAAACAGCTTTTTCATGTCTCTTTTAATTATGAAAGTAATTCAGTCAGTAACTTCAAGAGTATCACCTTATATACAGGATGTTTAAAAATAAGCTATAAGCCAAACATGCAAATTCCTCTTGTTAAAGGAAACGAAAAATACTTCTATAACTTTGTTATGTATAGTTTTAAAAATATAAAGTAATTCAAAATTGAGGATCCAGCTGTTGTACGCATTGCTATACATCAGTGTTTTGTCATTTGTTTTAATCTGTTGACTGGGGAAATTAAGTTAACTCATCGCTTTTACAAAACACTATAAATTTGTTGAAAGATTTAATCAGGAGGTAAATACATCGTATTAGAACATATCGCGTACAAAATAAATTACTTTTTCTTTATTCACTTTTTATTACATATGCAAGAAGCAGCTTCCTTCTGGTTGAAAAAATGACTCAGTTAACAGATTAAATTACAGTACTTGCTCCAGTATTATTAACATTAACACTTAACCGGTGGGACACATAAAACTATGATTTTAGACAAAAATAGAATCTATTGTTAAGATTTACAATTCTCTCTGTGTAGCATACACAACTTGTATGTATGCGTTTAACTGAATGATTAAGGAAATATTTTTTTTGCCATAAGTAAATTAACAATATGTTAATTCTCGTCGATTAAGTGTTATGAACAGTAAATAAATTTGACAGTTTATCTACCATCACAGATTCTTCCTACCAACATTGCTATATTTTTCAGTGACACTCTAGCTAATTTGCTCTTCTCCAATTCTTTCATTTTGTATCATTTTCTAGTTGCATTTGCTTGTTCAGTACACATCTCGCTCGTGTTTCTTTTCATGTCTTTTAATATGCTGTACAAGTTACTATTTACCTTAATTTTGTATTTTTCTCAACATTATGGAAGATTGCATGTTGGTCACAAAAGTTTTATCAGAGCAGGAACCATACATATTCACTCAGTGTCTGTAATTGTGTGTAAATATTTAGGTTCATTTAAAATATTATAATTCAAGTGAAATTGTATGAAGTATTACAGTTATTGTAATAATGTAATTGAAATGTATGTCAAATCGTACACGCATAATAATGAACCAAGTAGGTAATTTAAATATGTATCTATTATCACAATGAAAGAAGAAATACAAATCTTCTTGACGTATTAGAATGTTTAGTGTTGATAGTGTAAAATGCGTAAACGCGTAAAGTATTTTTTAATTTCTTTCAACATGAAAAATTTGCATGTTTCGACTTGCTACTTACTTTAGGAACACCCTGCCTTACATATATCTTAATACATGTATAATTTTTGTCAAGTTCAGTACATTAAATAATTAAGTACTCCCAACTATCAGCTTCATTTTCCAATATCTTCATAAAAGAATTATTTTCTAAAACATAAGATGATCAGTTAATTTAACAATATATCTAGAGCTCTGTCTCAAAAATATTTTTAATCCTATTTAAGGAAGAAATCTATATCGGTTATCGATCTCAATCGTTCATTAAGATCATCGAATTCAATTATTCTTAAGTAAAACAAAAAACACCAAAATGAAAATAATCGTTGCCCCTCACATGTCTTATGGCACTTTTCAATTTTTTTACGCTAACGCATTTTTACACGTTTAAGAAATGAGAGAAACAGTGTAAATAATCTATATTTCGTTCGAATAAACATCATCAATAATGTAAAAAGTTTGTTTCCTTTAAAAATTATGATTTCTCAAAAAAGAAAAGAATATCCAAAACGAGGTTCATGCGTTGCAACGGACTGTCATTAATTACATTTCGAAATAACCAAGAGCGTAGATACATAACAAAAAGAAACGAACTTTAAGATATGTATAACCTCAATCCTCATATTTATCGTTACGTCAAAAATGGAGAATGTTCTCGTCTCTCCGCAATCATTCAACAACTGACATAACGCTATAACAATTGGCAATATCATATAACTTTACATAAAACGTTATTTCCGTGTTGCCTCGTGAAACGGCTATCATAAATATTACTCTATCCATTTTTCATTTAATGCGAAAGCACCTCATGCGTGCCCTACACGAACGTGGACCATCAATGCTTTTACGCGCTGTCGTACCCTCACAGAGCGGTTCACGATAAACGCTTGACTTGCTTGCATGTACAATACTAGACAATGCATTAATACTAGACAATAGCGTAATACATATTTGACTCTAAAAAGTTCAACATTTTTTGCTTAAGTACCATGTGCGTGTGTGGGAGAGTGCGCTCGTTGGCGCCATCATTTCTTTTGTGTAACATATTCACGTATAATTATCCTGCTGATTAACGAATGATATAGTTTGTGCTACCCAAGCTCATAAACGCTTCCATTGTTTTTCTAAATAAGCAAATTCGGAACAGTCGTTCAATTTAAGTACTGGCCACCTTCACGCGTCCATCATCCAATGTTTCAGTCATTTTTACGATTTTGTTTTTCTTTTCCTAATTCTCATACCTACAAGAACTCGTCAATTTTGAATTCTTCGAGATAGACAGAATTTTTCCACTTATCAATCGTTTAAATAAAAAATAACATTTCGCGCCACGTAAAGTTACGTGGTTAATTGCAACTAGACTAAACTACTTATTTCATATTCCGACACAGGTTTTTTTGCTTTTTTATATTTGTTCTTGCTCGGCGACATATTATAGACGGCTGAATAACCTTGGGTGCGTGATAATTTTGGCTTCTTCGTGCAGGAATGATATTAATCTTTTCTAACCTATACTACTCAATATTATTTGTATACTTCGTTAAGTACATCGTAATAGACATTTAAGTGAGCCTCTTAGAAGTCAAACTGATTAACTTAAACGATAATTGATTAACTTACTTTAGTTTGAAACATACGAACGAACAAGTATTATACAGTAAATTATTTCAACTATAAGTTGTATATTACAAATTGTAAACGCATACAAATAAATACATTTAAAAACATTGTTCACGCTAAATTCATAGAAAATGAAATTGATCAGCTTAACTTCTGAGAGGGTCAAGCGTTATCAACAACGTCTAGTTTGCTCCGCGAATAAGTGCATTGATACCTAGAACATTGTGTATATTTGATTAACCGATGAATTTTCGAATCTAATCATTTCGTTCCTAACGATCAACATAGGATCCCATCGTTTTCATTCGTTCCTGTATATTTAATCTTGAAATTATCGAGGCTGTGTGCGTCATCTACCCTAAACGACATTAGGAATACGCGTTTTGTGCACGCTCACCGTCGCATCATCATCAGTATTGAACATTTCTTCAAAATGGCCTCTTTTTCATTGAGATTACATTCGACGAACATAATTACTATGCAACAAAGACTATACAATTAATGTATAGCATTTTGACTGGACCGTGCAGTTCTCATTACGTGCTCGAGCGAAAGAACTTGACAACGTTGTTAACAAACTCCTGATGCTACAACTGCACTTGAAACGCTTGCGTTGCGTTTGGCATAACGAAGGGATTCGTTGCGTTGGACTGTTGCAGATTTTTCGCTGCAATTTCTGCCCATTCAGCATCGAACGGATCTGATGTGCCACTCCTGGTGATTGGTCCCATCGCGGCAGATCCCAAAGACAGAGCTCTTGCATGAAGCGATGGTGCTCGTCGAGGACTTGTTTGTCCTTGCGAAGAAGATTGCACTGAAGATGGTACCGAGCTGGTTATACTACCCAGCCATTGCTCTGGCTTCGGCAATGGCATTGTCATTGCAACTGGCTGAACCTGGAATAAGAAAACATTGTACACTTACTTAGCAATACACATAGTCACATCTTATTATCAATTACAGTAATTGGAACAAATCACAATATAACAGATCATAAATTATGGATGATTACCGCCGGCGTAGGAATAGTATTCGAAACCGCAATTTGATTGATTTGGCTAACATCAGGAGTCACACTACTAGGTAGGGCCGGTAAAATGGACGTGGTACTGGTCACTGGTGTTACCGAAGTAATTCCAGAATTGACCAGTATCGATGTATTCGCAGCAGGTGTGGATGTACTTCCTAAAGAGGACGTCGATACTGAGCTAAAGGCTGAATTGGCTAATGGTGGTGTACCAAATACACCAACAGTGTTAGCAGCTGCTGAGACGTTCATCATAACCGGGGTGGGTGCACTTGTTCTTGGAGGTACGGGGCTGTGATTAGCAGCTTTGTTTCTAGTCGGCGTGAGTTTACGACTCGAAGACGACGGGGATTCTTGCCAGCTAGATCCATCGTTTAAATTATTGAGATCATCGTTTTTATCATTGTTATTATTGTTGTTGTTATGGTTGTTGTTGTTGTTGTTGAAACTGGGACCATTTTGTAGCTTCAACTCATCCAGCGAGCTGCTAATCGTTACTGTAACAATACAATAGTGATTACTTTACTAGTTGTGCTTGTTTTGCAAACAAATGCCGTTTGGCTGCAAGAGTGAGATCTGAAAATGGAGTCAATAATGAGAGAAAGGACAGACAGGTAAAGTTAGAACAAAGAAAACGTTGGTTGTACCTGGTGGAGTGTCACTGGTAGAGCCTGTGAAGAGCTGTTTAGCTACAGAGCTTGCACTACCACGACTAGGCACTGGGCCAAAATCATCGCTACTCGAAAGAAGGGAAAGCCCTCGCGAAAGCTGCTGACACATAGCTGAAACACTATCCTGACCTCCAGGCGATATTTCCGGTATTGGACTTACTGTAATTAAGAAGAATTTCTATGAATAAGATTTCACGTGCTTCTACGACAAATACTGTGCTTTTAACTCGTGTTGAAAACTACTAAGTGCATGCTTAACACGTGTTATGTATTTGACAGAGATGTACAATGTATTTGAACAATTTGAACGCGGCTACTCAATTTGTTGAATGAAGAAGCTTAGTCAAAGTAAATCCAAAGCTCATAGAATATTAAAATGATTGAATATTTAAACAAATATATTACTCTGATTAAGCTTTTTTTGCTTGTATTTACTAAGCATGTCTAGTATGTATGTACTAGTCTACAATTTCTTTTATCTTGCTTTTCTTAGAATTTATATTACTTTTGTATGAATCATACAATGTCTTAAAAAAAATGTGTGAAGTATGTCACCTTATAATCATTTTATGAACTACCATTGATATCGTATATACATATGTGCTAGTGAAAGATAAAATGTATTCTAACACAAGTACATTCGAGGAAAGCTACAAAACCAATACAACAAAGAATATTGTTTCTCGCTTTCTGTTAAACTTTGAAATTCGTCTAATGATGTTCGAGTGTACACAAAATGTAACTGTATGTTTAAACACATCATTCAGTACGAAAAAGAGAAGGAAGGGAAAGGGGCAAGCAATAAGAACAAATCACGGAAGAGAAAATAATGACCTTCGTCGTCTCCTTCGAACTCTGTTGCAAAAGTAAAGAAACATATTATTCAGTGTAGGTACTAATTTAAAAATACCAATATTGTACATGTGATGAATTGAAGATTAATAATACATTTAAAACAAATAGATGATTTGTTTTATATTTATCTAGTTTCTATTATTTCCCTATACCATTCTGGAAACCCTAAATAAACACTGAACAATATTTGTGATATTGTCAACAAGTTTCTTCTTCACTTACTATAACTTATTGCAATTTTTTGTATGGCTAACTTGACTTACGTACTTTCATATCATAATAAAAACCTAGCTCTGCGAATATATAGATGCATTATTATAAAAATAATCATTTTAACTGGTTTGATATGTTTCATATATTCACAAAGTTTAGGTTCAAATAATTTTAACAAAGAACAGCTCTTGAGAGCTATTCTTGTAAAGGAAGACAGAGTAAGGAATATGCTTTGTTCACAGGTATTATTCTACACCAAATTGTGTGAAAACAATTTATCAGGAGAATGGATCATTTACAACATCAAGTTCATTTTGCAGTTGTTCTCCACTTGTTATTCAAAATAGAATAATTACCTGACGGTTTCGAAGGTACAACTTGAGACATACTGGATGGCATTCTTGATAAATCAGTTGGTTCGAGACTGTGGCTACGAGCTCGTTCAAGGTTACTAGGGAGATCATTGATTCGTAAACTAAGTTGCCTCTTAAATGGAGATGCTTGATTCAATTGCGTGAAACCACGGAAGGAACCTTGTCGTTCGAGCATCGACAAGGTGGCGTGTGGTCTTTCGATCGCAAATGGGTTGTAAACCTGCTTTACCGGAGGTACATCTACACAAAAGATTTCATTATTGTAAAACATCAATTAGAATTTTTATTCAATTTTATTCCATAAAATGCTAAATAATTGGTGCGGTAGGTTGCTCATTCTAGTATAGTTTAACAACAATATTATTGAAGAAGCAACTAACCTACAGCACGTTCGCGTGAATCCTGCAATCGTTCCGTAAGACTCGGTTGTCTAAAGCTACCGCTCCTCGTGAACGTCGAAGTTTTTGAATCGAACGTCATCGTGACACCGCATTCTTTGTCCCTCCGCTGTTTTCTCTCCAGACACGCGGCGAAAGCACAGCCTACTGCATGACTCAATCGTTCTCCCTAAAGGAAAGTTTTTGATATCGTATATTCTGACAATAATTGTATATTACACTCTCGTTATATTACCACGCATTGTATAATCAAAATGTACACCCGGTATGTTATTATATTGCTATGGGTTATAGCATCTATTACCACACGTTGCATCACCTTGCGTTAGACGACTCCGCCCCTATGTGCGGCAATATAACAAAAGTCCTACACTTTTACCTACACTTACCGATTCCTTCAATGCTAAGAATCCATGACACATCCACCTCCTAGTCGTTCCATCCCTGCAAATGTAACTAAATCCCTTCTCATGATTTCGGTCCGGTGCACAAAAGGAAACCTTCTCTATCGTTTGATCGACGATTAGTCCCTTAGTTTCATCTTCAACAACCCGCAAGCCGTCGCCTGATACATGTAGCACTGCTCGTACAGGTCGACGTCTTGAATTCTACAAGAATTTAATCGTTACACGATTCATTCCAAGTTGTTACGTGTGTTTCAACGTCACTTACTCTAAGTACTTTCAGGGCTTCCTCGCATACTTGCATGCCCCTTGACTCGAACACCTCGACACATCCCAGGTACTGCACAATCAAAATATATTAACTGACAAGAATAGGATAGACCTTAATAAAACCGTACAAGGTGGGTCAACCGTTACAAGTTCTCATGGCGACTAATACTGGCAACAATTTATATATTTCAGGGGTAAATCTTCCATATGAAATATTTGAAACGATTGATACCTTAACATGGAAAGCGCATGTCGCCGAACGAACAGCAGTTTCATCCGCCTGCCATTGATGGGGTTTACTGGATTCCGGTACGTGAGGATCTTTCCGCCGCCGGAAGCTATCGCGAAAGCTTCGTCGCAGCCGATCCATTCTCTTTCCCGGTGACCTCTCACGCTGCACATAAAACATCTTTATTTTAACAATGTGCAATTAAATAAACATATGTTTCTCATATCAACTTATCAAAGAGCTGCGCATTCAACGTGAGTCATCCGGTGATCAGCGCTTATTACTAATCGGTAATAGAGCAATTTTTTTGTCATAGATAATAAAATGCGAAACAAAGGTTGTAATAATTCATGTCCTTAACACGACTGCATTACTATATCATTGCTGGGGAAATGTTTCGATCAAACGTTCTATTCAGTTGTATATTTCATTCAAAAATTTAGGATGCGATTATTTCCCATAACAAGACATTCCACTATGCAAGTGAAAAATCTTTTAAGACTAGTAGATGTTTATTTATTTGTTTATCTGTTGAAAGTGGTATCTGTATACTGATCCCCTGTGAAAATAATGATACCGGATCTTATCCCTTTATGTTTCGATACGCACGAGTTGTCTGTACATGCGCAAACAACACATACATTCTTTACCGTCATATTTTCTTTCACTCTTCAAGGTCGTACCTGGTGATTAGCAAGACCGAGCCAACACGCGAGGCTGTTACATGAAATACCATGAATGTAAAAATTGCTGTCGGAAAAGATGTTGTTCGCTTGAACAATATAGCAAGATATGGTATACAGATAAGTAAAATAGTATATTTTTTGTTATTTGATCAAAGTAATTCTCACTATCCGTGGTCAACGAAGCAGCAAAATAGTTAGATCACGGCAATTAAATGTTCTTAGCCTGTTTTCAATGCTCTCTAACTGTAGGCTGTGTTCCTTCCTAATGTATTTTCTTGTCATCCGACTCAGGTAACTACAAAACTAAGCGCATGGTTGAATGTGCTAATGTCGGCCTTTACTTAAGTATGGAGAGAGTCCCCGCTCCCATTTTGCTCGGAATCATCCTTTTGTTCTAACATTCGTCCTCGAATGTATACTTGTCCTCGTCTTCTACATGGCTCAGTGACTCTTGCTTATTTTCTAGTATATTTTTTATTTCAAGGTTCACGAGCGAGCATTATAGGCTTTCCTAGGGAATTGGCGATATACAAGAGGCTAATATTGATCACTTGGACAAACAAAGGATACCTATCCAGCAGTGAAGTAACTAGAATTGTTGTCTGAAGGAGCGGGTGTAGATTACCTCGCGTTATATAGCCGCTAGTTTCCTTTACGTTATATGGCCATGCGTTATGTCGCATGCTATATTTACACGTGTTGATTCCCTATGCGTTATATTGCCGTATATTAATTCCTGACGAGTTACATATACTTTAATGTTCTATATGTTATATGGCCACGTGTTATATCGCCATTTGTTATATCACTGCACATTGACTTCAAACATGTTAATTCCTTATGCATTAGTATCCTACGGTGTATATAGTTACGAATTAGTACGCTACACGTTATATCGCCTCGCGTTATATCGCCACTCATTATATCACTGCGCATTGACTTCACATGTGTCAATTCTTTACATTTTAGCATCCTACACGTTATATGGTTACGTATTAGTACTCTACACGTTATATGGCCACGCGTTATATCGCCGCTCACTATATCACTGCGCATTAACTTTACATATGTCAATGTCTTACACGTTAGTATTCTACGCGTTATATTGTTAAGAATTAATATCCTACATGTTATATAGCCGCGCGTTATATCGCCACTCATATTGCTGCATATTAACTTTACATGTGTCAATTTTTTACCCGTTAGTATCCTGCACGTTATATTGCCATGTAGTAATACTCTACACGTTATATTGCCACGCGTTATATTGCCACGTGTTATATTGCCGCGCGTTGTATTGCCATGCGTTATATCGCCACTCGTTATGTCACTGACGTCAAACGTGCCTATTCCCATTAAATTCCCATTCGTTATTTTTCAACACGTTACAAAGCCACTTAGTTCACTACACGGTATATGGCCAGCCATATACCAAGAGTGCTTCTCTGCGCGTTTAATTACCACACGTTACTTCCCCATGCGTTATATCACCGCGCGTTACTTCTCTACGTATTGTACTGCCACGTGTTATTTCCCCTCGCGTTATATCGTCACGTGTTAAACCCCTACAACGCATTTTCTACGTTCTTTACATTGAAAGGATAATCTTTCGATTGTTATCAACAGCTTTGTTTTCAATGTGGTCGTTCTACAACCATCGTGCTTAGATAGGAGCTGATTAAAGGGTTAAGAATCTTACGAAATCTTGATAAGTGCACTCCTACAAAACAGGTAGTTTGCCAGCTGGAAACACTTGAATTTAGGAGAGCCAACCTGAGTAAATATGAGACATTACACTGGCGTTATCACCGACGTAATATTACGTTTTCAATATGAAGAGTAATACTGTGCATGTATTTTATTAAGTACTAATATTTCATCGCAAAATTAAAAAATAGACGTTAGTTAAGAAAGGATGACTTTTATAATTCCCAGGTGACATATTTTAAAATAATTGCGACCGCAGTATGACAGTTTTAAAATGATTTAAAAGGTAATGAGCAAATGAACGTTCCGCGTAAGTATAACAATTTCGCAAGTTTCAAAGTATGATTAAACGTCTGCTACTTTTATAGGTCAAGCTTCTATTAAACTAGAGTTGCATTCGTTGCAACAATAAATCACATTTGTACCCGCGTGATCCATCATAATCATATCAAACTCGCTTTATTAAGTTCGTCCCATACATTCCACTTGAGACTGAACTCTGTTGCCTTCAATTCAGCGTACCTTGCACTTAACTCAAGTTTCATCCGTGATAATTTATCAACAGAACGTAGGTAACCGGAGAAAATTTAATGAAAGTGTGTACATTTCGTTTTTAATTTAATTGCAACAGTATTCTGCTGTTACGTAAACAAAAACTGGGGAACAACGTTTACATTATTCATTCTAATGAATATTAATGAACAATTATTCTATATGTAAGTTATTGGACTGTTAATTCGATAATGTAAAATTACTTCAAAGTAGTACCAATCATATTGGAAGATTTTCAAATTTAAGTTTTAGGTAGTAAAACGTATCTCATACGCTACGAGTGATATCAACGTTAGTCAACGTTTTCATCGATCAATAATTTATTATGCATTATATGATTTAAAAAATTGTCGAGTTGTCACCGATGATTATCTTATCAATTCACGTGCTAATGTGTTTTTGCACGTTCGCAAATATTCAACGTCAATCATCAAAAATTAATTTTTCTTAATTTTCTCTAGAAATATGTTAATGTACGAAGGAACTTCGAGCTCACTATCGGTATGTAAATGTAATCGGTTTCGTAACGTCGAGAATTTTTAGCTTCCGCTTATAAACCGGATATACAAAATTTAATAGATGTGAACTTGTGCGACCAACTGTAGGTGTAGACTATAAGTTACTTCACCAGTAACGTATATTTATAACTATTTAAATATTGATAAGAGTAGCGCTAAGGCTAAGACTTGCAAACAACCGGACAGTTTTACTTCTACCGAGTTATATACGGTGTTTTCCTGATACACCATTGCAAAAAATAGCAAAAAATTTTTTACAACTTTTATATTAATTAAGACAATATTTTTATTCCATTATTTAATGTGATTTTGACCAACAATATAACTTGAATAATTTAAATATTTTGTGTAAAAGAAGATTTTCTATGTTGTGGTAAATTAAAATTTATGAACAAGAATGTAACAAGTATTCTGCCAGGTAGGCTCATCATCTTGCCTCCAGTACCACCAGTCACGTGACTCCCCTACATTGGTGAACATGGCAGGTATACCTGGGGAAAATGACGGCGTGAGGAAACAGGCTACACCATCCTTTGTGGCTGGTCAATTTTAAAATGCACACATTTTAAAATTAAACCTTCAGAAATTTCGAAATTCGGAGATTCGAACATTTGAAAATTTGTGACGAAATTCAAGTTTCGTGACGTTCCACGCTAATACAAAGGTGCCATTAACCCCAACATTCCCTCGAATCCTATTCGCTCCTGTTCTACACCATAGAGCGCAATATTTCAAACCGAGTTTCTCTATTTCAGCCAAGATTCTGTGATTCGTGATTGATTAATTAGATTCCCGATAATCGAGGGTCAAGCCTTGAAAGGCCGATTGCTTCAACGTACGCTCCATTTAACGGTACTGCATCGAGAAACAAGCGTCGCACGTGGGCATCTGTTAAACGCGAGTTATCGTTGACGTAAAACAAGATTGCAACGTACCGAGAGGCGAAGACCATTTCCAGCATGGCTGGTAGCTCTTTCGAGCGGTTGGTGGGCGGATGGATGGTTTCCCATTTCTTTCCAACGCCGATGTTTTCAGGACGCGCTATAAAGACTGCATCAACAATCCAAACACCGCCTGTGCGTTCTTTATTTCCTTTGGTACACCATGCGCGGTGACACTTATCGTGCACTCTTTGCACACCTTTGATAATCCTTCGGAACACTCTATCTGCAGCCTGAACGCACTTGCAACATTATTCCTTAAGGACACTTTCACGTTTACAATTTTGTAAACACTTTGCGAGTGCACTCGTTATCGAAATCCTTCAAACCGTTTGAATAACCATCGAAGCGTGCACGCGATCCGACGACACTGAGAACTCGAACAACTGTGAGAACTTCCTCATCGACCACTGCATCTCCAACAGAATGAGTTTCATCGTGAGCTTCCGATACACTGCACAACTTGTCACTTCCTCTTTTTTTCACCGTCTGAATTGCGGTTTTTCTGTTGATAGACCGCGTGTAAATTGATGACCGAATCAGAGTCGTAAGGTTTCAAACAATCTCGGCCTTCTTACAGACAGTGAATGTTTTAAATAGGCATGGCAGCGCGACGTTGCCAGAAGCCGGCCGGTAAAAATGTACACCTATCGGGACGGATCGACGAACGGGTAAGGAGACCGCTTCTTTTTCTTTCTTTCTTTCTTTCTTTCTTGTCACGAGCAAACAGTTCAAACTGGTCGTGCGACTTGGCCCCAGAGGTTGACGTCATGGACTCTACCTAGAGCGGGATTCCGATTATTCTCTTTCTTGTACCTCTGTCCTAGCTCACCTTAAGGTGCGTTTTGACTGAACGAGCAGATAGTCAATCTGCCCCCACTTCGACTGAGCTCTAGCATGAACGGACATTCTTTCCGCGCTTGATTCGAGCTTACTTGATTCAAATCGAGTCAATTCGACGCAATTCAATTTAACGCATTTGATTTGGCGCGATTCAATTCAGTACAATTTGCATCGGTACGGTTCTGTCTAAATGCGACTTGATTGGACTCGATACGTTGCGAATCGTTTTAGTTTAAAACCACGCGATTCAAATTGGCGCGCTTCGACTTATAATTCAAATCGACGCGATTCGATTCGATACATTTCAACTCGATTCAGTTGCATCTCATGTGATTTAATTTATTACGATTCAAATTGACACGATTATAATTTGATTCGATTCGTTCTAATTCAAATTCACGCAATTGAAATTGGCGCGCTTTGACTTACAACGATTCAAATCGATGCGTTCTCGACTCGACGCGATTCGATTTCGACTCGTCGCAATTAGATTCCGATGTGACTCATGTCATTTAAATTCAAGTCACAGCAATTCAACACGTTTTTAATTGGTTTCGGTTAAAATCGACACTATACAATTCAATGAAATACAATCCAAGATGATTCACACTCGATACGGATCAATTCAAATTAATTCGATTCATATCGATGCAATTCGACTCATAGGTCAGTTCAAATCGATGCGATTTAATTCGTTTCAATCGATGCGATTCAATTATCCGTGTACCGAATATCTGAATAATTCGTTAAAACATTAAATCATTTAGCTGTTCGGTGTCCAGTTCGATAATCGTTTGAAACGATCTCGAACGAATGCTCGGTCAGTTTAAACGCACCCTAACAAAACAGTAGTGGGGATTACTTGTATCCTGTTACTCGCTTCTAGTCATCTTCGCCACGCGAAATCCTTTGCGTTTGCTTCGTAATCATCGCTGCTTGGAAATCTCTCAGTTATTTTTAATCGATGACGATTCCAGTATTTACTTGGAATTTGACGCTCCGTGTTATTTTTTTTTTACCTGCCTGGAGATTTCGTAATGAAACATCGATAGTTTGATTCAATTCCTTTTATGTATGTACACTCCCATCTTTTTCTTTTTACGAAGATATTTACAAATCGTTCGTAAATAAAAATGCTTTTCTGTCATTTATACTTCTTCTTCACATGAGAGCTTCTTCAGATTAATATCCGTTTTATTTACAAATTATTTAATATCATTTTATGTATTAATTAATACACTGTTAAATGTATTTTTTTATAAATAACTAATTTGTATTATACACTTGCGTTATTAACATTCTTGGTTATAGTAGAAAACGAAATCTTTACGGATCGATGGGTGTTTAAAATTGTATATTAGAATCGAAATGACGAAACAGCCACAGTATAAATTCCCACGTTTTTCCGTTAGGACTGTTGTCGTCACGCTCAGTCACTTCCGGCGATTTCACCGGAACTAAAACCGTACGTTTGATTTTTCGCGTCGGTACAGAAACCGTCAAGACGGAGATCCCGAAGAGATTTGCGTCGAGTAAAATCTTACTAGTCGATTAAATAATTATCGATAAACAGATAAATATTCTAGTTTCGAACATCGTGATCAAAGTTCTGTTTAGGTTTACGATAAACATGAGAGACTTTAAATTCGATAAAATTATCAACAAAGAACGAATAAATATATAATTGCAGAGAAGAGCTTGTTTAAATAAAATTGCTATTTTTCCTTCGACAAACTTCTGCGCCATCTGGTGAAGGTGTAATCCGCACAGTGAAACTTTCGATGGCTAGTGCGCGTAACAGGAATTACATATATACTGTTCACTGTTTATCGTCGAAGGAAAGTCGTTGAGAACACTGCACATTGTCAATCACATTCGGCATCACTTTAATGCGGTCAAGAGAAATAAGACGAAGTAAACGTATTCACTTTCACTTTCAACAGAAAAGTCCGACGAGGCTTCGTCTTCCAATAATGTGGCAAAGTAACGTACAACAACCCCCCCCTATAACACTCGGAAAGCGAATGCCATAGTTGAAACTGGCCCAGGTCTCTCTACCCCAGGTCCTACGGCGTGGCAGGGATGCACCTTCTCTCATTGGCGCCCTGTCCCCTCTTCAAAAATTAGTCTTTTCATTTTCTCTCTATATGTACCCAGATTCTTACTAAAAACGTCAAATTTAGCTTGTGCAAATATAACAAATTTGGTAGTTAGGTTATTTCTTACTTAAGGCTTCTTTCTTACAAAATATACATTTGGTGCGAGATGAAAAGGATGATGAGGACAATTACTATTTTTCAACAGTGACATTTAGGAATTTTAAGCTTCGAGTTATGAAATTTTTTAGTTCAAATTTTGGGTCTTTGGTATTTTTAAATTTTATAACACAGTTATTTTTTAATTTTTGCATTTTGCAATTTTGAGACCGTGAAATTTTCAATTTTGGAATGATGGGACTAGGGTTTGAAATTGAAGAAATTCAAGTCTTTAAATAATTGGTATTTCAAGCCAATAAGTTGTGAAAATACCGTTTTGGAAAGTGGGTCCTGACAAAGTTTGGTAAGTGATGTTATACACATAATTATTTAAAAAATTTATTGTTATTAAGCTTCTTAAAAATCTTACATTAATACAAATAACTACATTTATAAGATTATTATAGTAATTTATAAAACTATTTAGCATATATTATTTTTTAAGTCACAGTAGTTAAACTCACACTATTTTAATGCGCATGCGCAGTAGCAGTTTAACAATAATAATTTCTAGATATATCAATCTTTTGTGAAATATTGTCTAATTCAAAATTACTCTTACAATCTTCAAATAAAATATCGAAAAGTAACAAATAATTTTTTTATTAGAATTATAAAAATAAGTGTAAATAAATATTTTTGGATAAAAATGATGAACCTTAAAATTTTTAAATATACGTTATTCTCGAATGTCTTCGACTTGAAATGTGCATGTGAAGATTATTCTGCTGAACTTCTGAAAGTAATTACTGTGATTCTTCAATTCTTTGTAGTGCATTAGATATATTTTTTTTCAATATAAGAACATTGTGCATGTTTTCCTCGTTTCCATTCAAGCAAGTATCCCCTTTTTCACATGGTATTGTTACAATCAATCCCAGGTATCTTTCCCATTCTAAAACAAGCTCGGCTATGCTTGTTTTCATCTCCTTTGAACATCTCTCTGTCCGACAAAGCCAAGTTTTAACGCGAAAAACCGGTTTCTCGTACGTTTATGCAACCCGAAAAGCGATCACGATCAACATTGAGGAAACTCCAGCGAAACAACGCGATAGAATTATTTAAGCGTTCTATCAAATTTCTGGACGGCGAAAGATCTTGATGGTTTAGAAGTTTCAGGTTAGGTTAGATCAGGCATCGGGGTTGCTGCTAGAAGTTTACGGCGGTGAGTGCAGCTGCTGCTGCGAATGATCGTACATCTGCTAAGACAGGACTAAAAGAGAGGTTCACCATGAAGCCAACTGTGCTCTTCCTGCATCTTCCATTTTCCTTATTAAATAGTTCATTATAGTAACATTTTATCACAATGAAAGTTATACTGTAGTCAGAGAGTTTATTTCCTTTTTTGAAAGAATTTTCATTTATAATCTTTTCTATATTGTTACTAGTAAAACTTCTATATTCTTTTTACATTGTTATATGAATAATTTTATTTATTGTATTATGTATGCTATTTACATTTAATAATTATTATATTTACTTATTAGATTTACTATAACTATATTTTCTAAAAACTTATACTGTAATCACAGAGTTTATTTTTCTTTTTGAAAGAATTTTCATTTATAATAACTTCTATATCATTATTATTACTTCTATATTCTTTTTATATTATCATATGAATAATTTTATTTATTGTATTATATGCTATTTACATTTTATACATATTATATTTACTATATTACATTATTTACATTTATTAATTTTATTTAATTTCATATTTATTGTATTATGACTGAACTCCATTTATATTTATATTTTTTTTTATAAAATATATTTTATAATTATTCTATAAATTTTTAGAACATAAACATGTATGTAATACAAGGATATGCAACATAACATCACTCTAAATATTCTATGTTATAATTATACCTCGTTTCTATATTTACATCTTTATAAACATGTCTACATATTTATAAAACATATTTTATAAATATGTTCCATAATGTATATGTATTATGTTCCATATGTATTATAAATATTCATAAAATATATTTTATAAATATTCATAAAAATGTTGATGTATCCAGCAAAATAATAAATATTTGTATTCAATAAATTGTAGAACAATTTTGGAATAAATTCATGAGTTCAATAAATTTAAAGTCTCAATAAAATGCCCTTATACTCGGAGGAAGTGAGGTCTCGTAGAAGAAAAGTGTGGATCTAACAAAATGGGATAACGGTACATTCCGGAAGAGATGTGTCAGCTTTTTTAAATAGCCACTTCCCAGGCAGATGAATAAAAAGATATTGCGGTCATCGGAATTCAATCTAATTTTTACCGTAGTTTAAATTATGACTCTCATATCCTTTAAAAATTAAAGCGATCTTTTTATATAATACCAACTTGTGGAAAACTAGGGTTTATGTCACAGTATAGCCTATCACAAAAATAATTCATCATTACCGAAGATAATT